GGCAGAAATCCTCCACATGTGAATGAAGCTTGCACAAGCCTCTTTCCTATGCCTCAATTTCTAGTCCACTGAAAACAAGCCAAAGAAGTACCCAAGAGGGGCCGCTCCCCCTCCCCGGGCTTGTGCATGTGCGTGTTTGGCTGGGGGTGGGGGGCTGCCTCCAGCACAGCTGTGGAGATGGACCAGCCTGGGCCGCCATCCCGCTCGTGTCTGAGGAGCTTGTCCCTTAGCCACCTTGTCTCCTCTCTGCACTCTCCACATTTGGTCTCAAGGCCCCAGCCATCTCCTCAAAGGCAAATGCTCATCCCTGTCCAGGCCTGACCTGGTCTTGGAACTCTATGAGCGTGGCTCGTTTAGCCACGAGGGACTGCACCTTCCGCAAAGCTCCACTCAGACACTGCAGTGCTCTCATGCAAAGGAGGGCTCAGGCTTTCCCTGCTGGGCTCCAAAGGACAGAACGAGGTGCAGCAGATAGAAGCGGAAAAGAATTAACTTTCCACTCAATTTAAGGGAAAATGAACACGGAGAGCCGCCCAGAGATGGAATGGTCTGCTTTAGAAGGTAGTGAGTTGATTGTGAGTGAAGGTATTCAAGTTATTGCTCCAATCTGAGTTGGCCCGATGGCTCCTTTCAATGCCAAGACTTTGTGACTCTGCGCTCTCTTTTTACAGTGAGTGGCCAAAGGAGAATGTCATGAACTCCTTGAGAGCCAGGGCTGTTTGGTTTTTCTCTTTCCATCCCCAGCACCTGGCACACAGTAGGTGCTTAGTAAATGCTTGCTGAATTGAGGTCAGTGACCAGTTTGCTTTGGCATTTCATCCATGACCTAGCAGAAGATATGGAAGACATGCTTACCCATTTTCAGATGACACAATGCCGGGAGACTCAGGGTCAAAAACCTGCCCCCTAAGATGGATCATTATGAAAAATCTGAGATGAAACCGAATAGGCATAAATGTAAAGTTCAGCACTTAGGCTCAAAACGGTGTGCTGCACTCATGTGATGCAGGTGGAAAAGGCCAGCTATTCCAGACCAGCCCCAACTCCCCACCCGTAAGGGTTTCCTGCTTGCCACTAATTATGCCTCCATGCAGACTTGGGGTCCCTTAGCTTCTCCCCAAACCCTCTTTTCTCATGCAGAAACTTTGAGCCAGTTTTTTGCCCCTTCCAAGGTGAGGTCATCACGACTCCCTAAATGCTGCCATTATTCTGTGGGAATTGACCAGCGCATGATACAAGGGCCACAACTTCTCCAGGCTTCACCCAGAGTCGTCATCTGCCTCTGCCTGGCCCTAGAACCATCTACCCATGCCTCTAAACATGGGATCAGCTCCAAGGAGCTGCACGCAGATACCATCTCCTCATCTATAAAACAGGTATAATACTCGCTCTCCTCCCACTCGGCAAATGCCTAGCTGTCCCATATTTCACTCGTTTTCTGAACCCTGTTCTCACTCATTCATTCATTCAGTGACACATTCATACTATATCACAAGCACACCCAAGGACTGGATCTTGCCATCAGGACAAACCAGTCACACACATCAGGAGACCGACCACCCGGATGGGCTCCCTTTCAGCCCAGGGTGATGATTAATCATCATGGATGGAAGAAGGAAGGTTGCATCTTCCCATACGGTTATCTGCCTTCTCTAGGGAGTATCAGCCTTCATATCTAGAAGCCTTACTGGACTGCATAGTGGACTGAGTCAGCAGTGTGACATCGAAGCCGAAAACTAATGTGACCTTAGGCTGCATCAACGGAAGCATTAAGACTGGCCTGTTGTCCACTACCTGGGTCATGTTCCATTGGAATATTGTGTTCATTTCTGAGCACCACATTTTATGAATGAGTAAGTCAATCAATGAACAAATCAATGAATGAATGAAAAACCATTTATTAAGTGCTTACTACATGCAAAGCTAAGGCTGAAAGTACAAATAGAAATACAGCAGAGTCCCTGCTCTCAAGAAGTTTCCATTCCAATGGAAAAGCATTGGCAGGTTAGAAAATCATCGAAAATCAATTAACCTGTCAACAAGCATTGATTAAGTATTCGTGATGTGCCAAGCACTGTGCTAAATTCTGGGGATATAAAGAAGGGCAAAAACAGCTCCTTTCCTCAGGAAACTTACATTCCATCAAGGGAGTCTGAAGAAAAGAACCATCATGCCTTAGAAAGTGCCCTGGATTTGGAATCAGAGGGCATGGGTTCGAATCCTAGCTGTGTGATGTTAGGAAAGCTTCATCCCCTCTCTGGGCTTCTGTTTGCCCTTTAGTCTAAGTTTTCTCTAAAATCACTGTTATTGTCTTGAAATCTTTGAAGGACTGTTTTGTACAACGAGGTTAAATTTGTTCTATTTGGCCCCCGAGAGCAGAACTGGGGGAAGTGGCTTGGAAATTATGTCCCTTTTGTCTCTGTGTCCCCAGCACCTAGCACAGAGCCCGGCACACAGCTGACACTTAATAAAAGCTCGTTGATTGGTTGAGAGTTAGTCTTCAGTTCAGTATAAGGAAGAATGTCTTAACTGTGGGAGGGATTCAAAACTACAATGTGATGTCTCAGGAGAGGGTAAATTCCTTGTCCCTGGAAGTCTCAGGCAGAGGCTGGTCGGGGAAACACTTACAAAGAGGAGTCTCCCTCCGTTAGAAGTTGAACCAAAGGGTCCAGAATTTCACAACTTGGTATATACATTTGAGAGATTTATGTTCCGGGGCTGAGGTGAGGAACCAGAAACCATGTCAGATGAGGGTAGGGGATCGGGTGAAGACTCCAGAAATTGTCCAGCCTGAAGAAAAGATTTGGGAGAGAGGGAAGGAGGAGGGGTGTGATCGCTGTCTTCAAGTAGCCACCATTTGTCAAGAAATTGTCAGTCCAAAGTGGGGTGAAGTCTCAAGTTTAGGTTAAAGGTTAAGGTTAGGACCCAAACTAGCCCTGGGAAGAGGGGTCACTCTGAGCTGGGGTTAGGACTCAGCCTGGGACTGGGCTGGGGACTCAGTCCTAGGCTGGGGCTCTATTTGTATCCAGGATTAAGGCTCAGGCCAAAGCTAGAATTAGGGTTCAGTGTGAGGCCGGGGTTAAAGCTCCGTTCATATTCAGGGACAGGGTTCAGTCTGGGTCTGGGGTAAAGCTCTGTCTGGAGATGGGATCAAGAATTAAAGTTCAAAGTCAAGGCTGGGTGAATGTAGTTCATCCTCGGTCACTGCGTGCGAAGTCAGCAGCTCCCGTAGCGCTGAAGCCCCCGTTCCCGGTTTCATTTGCTCTGTCCGTGCTCAGTGGTCACTGCCGGCTTCCAAGCGCTCATTCATTTCTGAGCCCTTGGGATGTAACCTGAAGCCTGGAAGACACCTGGCCGCAGAGACTATCCATCCTTAGGGAGAGGAGGTGGATGACAGTAGGACAGGGAGAATTTATTTCTCCTACCATGAAGGAAAAATATTTCATGCCTGGGCAGTTTTCACAGCTGGCTGGCAATGAGACAAAGCCGGACCGAAACGAGTGTGTGTCTACACTTTGACCACCAGGTGGCACGGAAGGTACTTCTGCTTTTCACTCCCTAGGTGCGCTCAGCCGCCAGCCTTCCCCCAGCTCCCTGGGCATCCTGCAGGGCTCAGGCCTCCCCTGAACGAGCGGGTGGCCCTAACTTTTCTCTCTATGTCCTGTGACACAGCTAGGGAAAGCTTCCATTTGTCCCTGAAAACGCCATGGCAAACCCAACTGCCACATAGAGGCTGTTCAAAGAGGGAAGGGAAGGCAGTAAGCATTTATTAAGCACCTACTCTGTTAAGGTTTGGTCCTGCCCTAGCCGGACTTCAGCCCAGCCATTTCTCCTGATCTATTGTTTTTTACCTTTTGCAAAGAGAATTGTAATCCATTCACCACCACTATTGCCTCTACAGAGGGTGTGTAATTGGCTCCCCAATTATTTCATTTCCCACCCCTAAGGTTTCTCAAACTCCCTTTCCTGGTTCCACTCCATAAACATGTGTGCATGCATGCATGTATACACATCTACATAAGTACGTATGTATGCGTTATGATATGTACATTATGTTCTACATTCTGATACATTATATATGCATATATAAAATAATATATAATATACAATATAATTCTATATTAGCACTCTACATGCACACATATATGTGTGTGGATGTGTGCTATATAGTACATATATGCACTACGTGTACATAGTAATTGGACAAGTATGTAAGCATATGGATTATGTGTGTATGTGTGTATATACATTGATACAGCTATAAATGGCTATAGAATAATAATAATACCTAACATTTACATAGCACTTGCTATGTGCCAGGCACAGTGCTAAATGCTTTACAATTATTATCTCCTTTGATCCTCACAACAACCCTGGGAGGTGGGTACTATTATTATTCCCATTGTACAAACAATGAGGCAAACAGAGGTTAAGTGATTTGCCCAGGGTCACACAGCTAGTGAGTGTCTGAGGCCAGATTTGAACTCAGGTCTTAAACAATATATGCACAGAATAACAACACACACAACATTTACAGAATAAATACAAGGAAATTTGTCAAAGGAGGACACTAACAGCTGGGAGAAATCAGGAACCCTATGGGGTAGGTATTAGAAACATTATAATCACCATTTTACAGATAAAGAAACTGAGGCTCAAGTTAAGTGACTTATCCAAGGTCACATAGCTGGGAAGTAATAGGACTGACACTTGAATCCAGGTCTTTGGATCTCAAGTGAATTCAATTAGATTTCACAAGCATCTGCTCTACACAAGGGATGCATTGCTCTATGGTGCAGTAAAACAAGCTGAGTAAATGCTGTTTATTCAAAGCACTTCGTCCTGGGAGTATCAGGAATGGCTTCCTGTAAGAGGTGTCCTTGAGGGCAGTTCCAGAGGTCCTAGTGAGAGAGCAGATTCTCCCTGGCACTGTAATGACTCCTACAGGAGACCAGCTTCCACCACTCAGGTCCAATGACCCATCCCCCTTGGTTTTCCAGTTTGAAATCCGGCAGCTAAGGGCCCACCTGGCCCAACAGGACCTGGACCTAGCGGCCGAACGGGAGGCAGCCTTGCAAGCCCCTCACGTCCTCAACCCGCAGGGCAGTGCCAGGTACAAGGTGGTGGACGCAGGAGACTCAGACGATGACGAGAGCACAGAGAACATCACGGAGTTGCGGCCCCCTCACGGTGAGTTCCTCCCAATCCCCCAGCCCTGCGAGCCCCAGGGAGCAGCGTGGTCTCACCTGGCAGAGGGCCGGCCCTCACCCCCACATTCCTCTGTACAGATACTCCCACCAGGGAAGGCCACTCTCCCATTCACTGTCAGAACTGCCTCCTCCCTCCTCCTTGGTGAGCTCAATATCGGGGGTGATTAGGACGATGCTTGAAAGACAACATGGTATGTAGACAGACAGCTGGCCTCAGAGCCACAAGGAGTGTGAGGAGACATATACAGACATGTCATGGGCTCAGACTTCTCTCAGCCATTCAAAAGGCATGTGTACACAGACACGGCACCATGGGACATGGGTCCTCTCACATCTCCTCATACAGACATGACATCATGGGATACATGTCCTCACACAAACATGGCATCATTAGACATGTGTTCTCATACAGACATGGCATCACAGGACATATGTCCTCACACAGACACGGCATCACAGGTCACGGGTCCTCTCACGTCTCCTCATACAGACATGACATCATGGGATACATGTCCTCATACAAACATGGCCACATTAGATATGTGTTCTCATACGGACATGGCACCATGGGACAAGTGTCCTCACATAGACATGGCATCATGGGACATGTGTCCTCACACAGACATGACATCATGGGATGCATGTCCTCACACAAACATGGCATCATTAGACATGTGTTCTCATACAGACACTGCACCATGGGACACGTATCCTCACACAGACATGACATCACAGGGCATGTGTCCTTACACAGACACAGCATCACAGGGTGCGTAGCCTCACACAGACGTGGCGTCATGGGCTCTCTTTCAGGAGACTGTCAGGCCCACCTTGTCAGAGGTCCAGGATGGATTGAGGGGAAGTGTGCAGACCGGTTAAGGTGACTGCTACAATAGAATCACAGACTTTCAGAGCTGGAAAGGACAGTCAGTCAGTGAGCATTTATTAGGCACCTACTATGTATGTACCAGGCACTGTGTGAGTACTAGATAAACAAAGCATAAATGGTCCCTGCTTTCAAGGAGAACATTCTGATGGGGGAGGTGATATGTAAATACAGGAAACATACAGAGTAGACTGAAGGTCGTCCTGCAGCAAGACTCCGGCTGCTGGGGGGCTCAGGAAAAGCTTCCTCTCAAAGGTGGGATTTGAACGGAGACTTAAAGGAAGCCAGGGAAATAAAGGGGAGGGGGGAGGGAAGAAGAGCGTTCCAGTATGGGAACAGCTGGTGGAAAAGTATGGAGTCCAGAGACGGGGCATCTCGTATAAGAAGAGCAAGGAAGCCGACGTCACGGGGTCAGAGGCTGCGGTGAAAGAAGGCTGGGAAGGGAAGAAGGGGCCAGTTTGTGAAGGGCTTTAAGCACCAAACAGAGGGCGTCGTATTTGATCCTTAGGAGGAATAGGGAGCCACAGCGGGTTGCTGAGGAGGCAGTGACATGCTCAGTCCTGTGCTCTAGCAGCAGAGTGGAGGACTTCTCTTAATTCTGGGGCCCTCCCTCTTTGAATTATTCCTGGTCTATCCTGTAGATAGCTTATCTGTGCATAGTTGTTTCTCCAGTTAGATTGTGAGCTCGGGCAAAGCAGGCATTGTCTTTTGCCTTTTTTTGTATCTCCAGCACTTAGAAGCATATAGCAAGGGATTACTTGGTAAATGTTATCTGACTGACTATTGACTGGAGGATGGATTGGAGTGAGGAGAAGCTCAAGGGAGGGAGACCAATTAGAAGGTGAATATGGTGAGGAGAGAAATGATGAGAATTGTCAATAAATTGGTTTGGGGGCAGGGGGTGAAAGAGATAGTTGAGAGGGACACTGAGGTTGCCTGCCTGGGTTGCTGGGAGGTGATGGTCCAAGAAGTCAAAGTCCACATGAATGATAATGAAGTCCAGGATGGTGGGATACGATTCTGTAGAAATGTAGAAATGGCCCTTTCTCTCCATAAAGATGCCATCCATACGCTCTGGTATGCAGACCGGAATTCCTCCACTTTCTGCCCTTCCCAACAAAGCACCTCCAAATCCAATGCTCCCCCTGGCCCTGCTGCTCCCCTCTGGAGCTGGCCTACGTGCCTTCACCCAGCTCCAGCTGCCAAGCAAGCCACCCTCATCCCCCATCTTGCATTTCCTCATTCCCCCATCCACGCAGAAGGCTGATGTTTCCAGTTCTGCCTTCACCAGAGTCATTGAGAGCACAGACAAAATAGATGACTGGAGGAAGCGCACTCAGCAGCTGTTAAAGACCCAGCTCATGCTTTTCCTTTTCCCCAGTCCTCAGTCCATTGGTGGGATTGAAGCAAGCATTTCCCCACCCCTGGCATCCACTGGGGAGTCACGCACATGGCGTAGCTGATTCGCTTTCTCCTTTGGCATCTGGGAGGTGCCCATGGAGAGAAGCCCCACAAGACTTGGAATAGCCAGGTAATCAGGCTCTCCAGGTGGCTCTTGTGAAGGATGAAGGAGGCCCTGGCTGGTAGCCCCAACCTCCAAGCCAACTGTGTTTTAAAAAGGCCCACTGACATGGGAAAACACAGAGCAGATGCACGGATTAGTGCACAGACATGAGTGTGTGCGCAAGAAGGAATCTGAGGCCAGATCCAAAGGAGTCCAGGCATCATCAGAAACAGAGAGTCACAGCTGGCAGGGACCTTAGAACATCGAACACAGAATCTCACAGTGGGAAGAGGCCATAGAACCCAGACCGTGAAAGGTGGAAGATGACCTAGAACTTAGAACCTAGGATGTCAGAGCTGAAGGGGGTGTCAGAGCTAAAAGGAACCTCTGAACATACGCACATTATCAGCGACTGGCTGGACAAGAAGGGACCTCGGATTCTCTGAACAGAGAATGTCAGAGCTAAGCAGGACCATAGAAGGGAGAGGAGGAAGGGAATAAGCGTTTATAAAACACCTACTATGTGCCAAGCTCTTTTACAAATATCTCGTTTGATCTCACAATAATCTTAGGATATGGGTGCTATTATTATCCCCATTTTACAGTTGGAGAAACTGAGGCAGACAGAGGGGAAATGACTTGCTCAGGGTCACACAGCTGGGGAGTGTCTGAGGCTGGATTTGAATTCAGGTCTTTTTGACTCTAAGCCTAACCCCTTTTCCATTGTACCACGCAGCTGTCTAAGACATAGAACATGGTATGCTCTAGCTAAAGAGACCTAAGGACATAGAATATCAGAGCTATTGGGTGCCCTATGACTAAGGACATAGAATATTAGATCTGAAAGGAACCTTAAAATCTAGAATGTTAGAACTGAAAGGAACCTTAGAAGATAGAGCCAGACTATCAGAGACAGAGAGCTAGGAGGGAGCTTGGAGCATGAAACATAGAATGTCATAACTCAGAGGGACCATACAGTATAGAATGGCTGAGCTGGGAGGGACCTTGGAATACACAGCATAAGATATCAGACCTAGAATATAAAACCCAGAATGTCAGAACAAAAAAAGATCTTAGAACATTAAACACAATGTCATAGCTTGGAGACACATAAGCACATAGACGGAAGAGAAGGGAGGAATCTTAGAATACAAAAGGTTAACGCCAGAAGGGACCTTTGAGGTTACCTAATTCAACTCCTTCCTTTTACAGATGAGTAAACAGAGGCCCAGAAAGTTTACATAGCAAATTAGCAACAGAGTCAGGAGGAGGGCCTGAGCCTCCTGACCCCTCTCCTCCCCGTTGCTGATGGACTCTGCTCAAAAGCTACTTCAAAGCTCTTTTTGATTTTAATTTTCTGTGCTGTTTCCAAATCACCATTAACTATAACCAACTAGGAAACTTGGTTTTGTTGGGAAGAGATAATGAGGCACTGGAGGTTGGATGGTGGCGGCCCCACTAGGGAGAATTTTTGTTTCCAAAGAAAGTGATGATTTTGATGGAGTCCATGTCAGCAGAACATCTGTGGCAGGATTGTGAACTATGGTGATGGGCAGAGGTGTAATGAGCCCAGAGCCACCAGGCTTCGTCTCTCGGGGCCCACATGGAGATGTCAAGGCCTGAAGATCACTTCCAGACGAGGCCCCTCACCCCTTCCTTGGCCTGGGCCCCTTCCTCCCTAGGGGGCAGGCGCTCTTATTTCCGTCTCATCCCACCGTTGCAGCTGGGCACCCAACTGGAGAGGACCGCATTGCTGGGATCAGTGGTGATGTGTACTTGCCTCGGGCCTTCCCAGAGTTTCTGTGTCGATCCCCCATGCCCAGCTCCCTAAAATGTTCCCCAAATGCTAGAATTCCCAGTTGTAGCTCTGGAGATAAGCCAAGGAAGAGGACAGAACAGGGCAGTATGGTGGGAGGAGCAGGAACTTTGGAGCCAGGAGACCTGAGTTCAAGACCTGGTCTTCCAACCAACTGGCTGCATGACCTTGCCCTCCTTTTCCTCTGCTATAAAATGAGATTTAGATGAGATACCACAGGTAACGGGAAGCATCTCTCGTGCCTCATAGCACCGTATAAAGGTAAGCTGGGAGGAAGCTGGACCTGTCCCCAAGGTCCTCTCCAGCTCTGATGGCCTCTGTCCCGAGGTCAGTCCAACTTGAACCATGCTATGCTTCAAAGTGATCACTGCTTGCTCAGCTCCTGCTGCTGTGGGAAGCCTGACAGAGGATATGATGAGGCCAGGAGGCTTCCTTATCATGAGCTGATGGTGAAGGAGCAGCAGCCTCTCAGCCTCCAAAGGGAGTGGAAACATCAAGACCTGAACAGAAATTCTCCAGGCCATTGCCAAGCCCCCCCTGAAGAGCGGAGGGAAGTTCCCTCCCCCCACCCCAGCTGCCAACTGGGTCCCAAGCAGACAAACGCTGGCTGGTTTCTGCTCAGACTTGCTCCAGCCCAACTCCTTTAAATCATCTTTAAAACCCAGGGCTGCAAAGTCCCAGGCTTTGGGGACTGCCAAGTTCACAGTGCCCCTGTGTAGGCATGAATACTTCCCTCCCAAATTTATTAGTCTTGAAGATCACCCATAATGAATG